CAATTTTTTTCTTTCTCATATATGAAGTGCTTGCTCATCTAATCATCCACCTTTGTTATCCACAAACTATTGCCTACACATGGGAATTTGGTCGCCGTCTCCTCTCTGGAATTCCAGGAGATATTGATAAAAGGAAGATCGGAAGTCAGGTTTGAGGTCATGTCACTTGGCGTAAAATTTCTTCCTGAAGAATAATGGTATAAGTAAGTCTAGGTTATCTTTCGCTGATACGAGGGTAGGGCTTCACGGTAGAGCTGGAAGAACTGCTAGCCCAAAGGTCTGCCAATTTTTTATGAAGATTTTCCGAAAGGTGGGGTCGAATGACCTCAGGAAAAAAACCAGACTTTGTCTTGCTTTACCCTCAGATAGAACGCATCGCCATTATGCTGTCAACGTATGCCTTACTCACTGACTCTAGTATTACTAGGCTCTGGTTCCCAGCGCCAGGTCTGTTCTGTGCCCCACTAAAATCTCAGAAGTGCCAGACATACAGGTCCGACAGAGGTGGTTGGGCTTTTGTTGTCAGAACTCTCTCAATCTTTCAAGCTACTCTGCTGCTCCTTGTGAATTTGCTAGCACACTCCACCCACTTCACAACACTGGTGAGTACGCAGGATGATCACTGAAAAGAACTCTGGGAAGCAGGAGCGAACATGGCGATTTCATATCGTGTTTGGGGGAAGATTTCAGAAAAATTGAAATTTGAGCCTCGGAAGGAAACGTGTGAACGGGCCGACTGATTTGCTTAGGTAGGACATTGTGGTCACTACTTGGCAAAACATGTTTCACGCCTTCAAGATTTTTCTTGGAATTTATAGCAATAAATTCAAAGTGATTCACTAATTATGGGCCAACGGAATATCTTACTACAAAACTAGTAAATCATGGACCAAAAACTCTGTGATTCATTCGCTAATGACTAGAGCACGTCGTTAAGTCCGTATAGGTAACACCTTACCTGTCCAGCGGCAGTCGTGGCCGGTTGACCGATGCAAGGATTGTCCAGAGGTTGGACAAGAAAGCTGACAAGCTCTCTGAAAGATAAAAACAGTCATTGGTTCAGCATTTATTCAAGATCAGCAAAATCTATCAAGTTATCTGTTTGCAAGCATCTTAGTTTTTTTTCATACGGCAGAAATTTAACGCGAAACCGAACTCGATAGAGTATCGGTGGAGCTGTTCCGGAGGCAAGCGCATCGTGGAAAAATAGACGCGTCAGTTCTCCACCCCGTTGCTGCAACCACCAATATTTCCTTAGTTACTCTTGACTCCCTCTGAAACACCCTAACTGACCAATTCTAGCATTGATTTCTAGGGGCGCGACTTTTGTCTTCGTCGAGAACTTTCTTGAAGCGAACCGTTAATTGGTAACTCATACAAGGGTGATACGACCGCCAGCATCCGCCTTCCCAAAAGTGGATCCATGCATGCATTTGCGATCCTTGAAGGCTGGAGTACACGATGCAGAAGCTCTACACCTAAAAAAATGTTCTATAGTATGTGGTCAGTGTGCATGGAACAAAGAAAACCATAGAGAAACGACATCAGAACTAAAGGAATAAGACCCCTCTGCTTATTGATTTCCGCACTGGTGCGACTCTCATCTGTGCTGCTCTCTTCAACGCTGATCCACTCTCTGCTAAACTGCTGAGGGTCAGACGAAAGGGAATACTCATCGGCTGGTATGCCGCTATGCCACACTGCGAGTACACTCTTCGGTGTGCAACGGGCTTGTCTCTCACCCTTGATGTCAGCCTGACTAGGTACATTTCTCAGTCTTCGGTCTCCAGTCTTGCTTGCCCTCCGATGACACTTCGCGCTCATATTCTACCTTTGGGCTACCCTCGTTGAATTTGCTTTTGCTGGCGTCGTGTGTAGTTCTGCATGAACATCTAAGGTTTGATTGCAGACAATGAAAAAAGGGTTGAGCACATTGTGTTAAAAAGGATTCAAACCCTAGGCTGGGTAGCGAGATCACGTTAGCAGTATCCCGATAATAAAATCGCTCCTCCTGAATTAGCCACCTATTTTGGACACTGTATGGAGTAGAAATACAAGAAGGATAGAACACCGAAAATGCCTAACAGCGAGCTGTACAATGGCAATTTTTCAAAGCTGTGCAATGTGCTTGACTATAGTAATCTTCACTTACCAGTGTAATGAAATTGTTCTGGTTTCCTTTGAGGCCGTTATAAATGAACGGACGGCAAGTCTTTGTTGACTGGTCGAAGTAGTATCGTTCCAAATTGTAATTTCCTTCACCAGTGGACATTGGCAAGTTGCAGATGTTTATAGGAAGCTGAAAAAGTCCTGTTCGTTCTTTAAGCTAGGTTTATTTATTAGATGGCCCAATTCTAAATTTTGACTGCTAGGCACAAGATTATGTACGAATACCTATTTATGTCATGATATAGACCCGATACACGGCCTAAGAGGCAGAATAGTGACAGAACGGCTCTTAAACGGCTGACACACTGTGATGTTACACTAACATAAGGCTCCATCGAACCCCGCCCCTGTTATGATATACGAAGGAGTGTCTCCCAATAAGAATATGTGGGTTTTGGGTCACCAGCACGAAGCGCTAGGTCTATTCAAGTGATCAGACAACAAAAAAGTAACAAGAATCCCTTCGTAACTAATCTGTAATTATTTCATGGGTCCCGTGTCGTTAGACGGGACATTCAAGTGAGTGAGCCACTTACAGTACTTGGGTTGAGCCTCGAACCAGGAGGAGAGGAAATAATTCTTTGGGAGGATGTGAGCAATTTTCATTCTACCTTACGTTTCTCCCCTTTCCTTAGCTTAGTCCTAAGGTCTCCTACCACCGGTTTTTTATTGTCCTGTTTGCATTTCCCTCTCCCCCTCCCTCCCCCCCCTCCCAAGGCCATGTGCGTCTATTTCATACTCATCGGAGAAAAAATATATTGGAAGAGATTCTGACGACAAGGAGGAGGGAGCAGATTGACAACGGGAGCGGAGTTGACCAAGCTAAAGCATTGGTTTTCCAAGTGGTATGGACTATGGTAGTTCTCCAATTAGAAACACATTGAAATGCGCCACCATTTTCAGAAAATGTCGAGTGCGTGGCCCAAAGGAATTTGTCAAAGCTGAGCATGATCACCAATACGAAATACCAATCTCTCATGAATTTTCCTCATCATCACTCGAATCATTACAACCCTCTTACCTCCTGGACAACACACCGTGGTGCTCATATCGGCGCCGATATGGCACCAATAATTCGCTGGGCACGTGTTCAGGTTCGCTGAGATGGAGCAGGTTTGCGGACGACCGTCCACACCGACGAACGGCCGGCCCTCGAAACACGGGTTTGGTCCGCATCGTTCTTCACAAGCCTAAAATGTCCTATTTAGGTCGCTACTTGCTTGGTGGCACAAATCATAACTGATCACAAATGACGTCACCTCTCTTGTGAGGAAGTTGTTCTGGTTTCCGTGAAGTCCTGCATACACGAATGGCTGACAGGATCCGGTCTGCTGGTTGAAGTACCACCGATCCAAAAACTGATTGCCGGTTCCAGGACTTAACGGCAGCGAGCACGGATCACCCTCTGGAAAACGAGAGCAAAATGGTAGCAGTAAATGTTCGGGCTAACAGTGAGTAGAGGCGCTTTTCGAACTGAGGGTTGGCCCGAACCGTGTAGAACAAAAATTTTCCTTCGTGGAAGATCATCTATATATGAACCCTCACTCACCACTTGGACAGCATAGGTAGTGTCTGGGGTGGCGCCGACATGGCAATAGGCGTTCGGTCCGCAGGTGTCTGGGCCGAGGGCGTTGCAAAGCTGAGGTGGAAGGGATATGGGCTGGTTGCACGGGTTTACGAACACTGAAAATATTTGTTTACTTGTTTTCAAGAGATAAATTCGGCACTGACGACCACCCTGACCGAAATGGGTTCAGGCGAGTCAGTGGGTGATCGTCGATGTAACCAGAAGCTTGTTCACAGCATATATGGACTCTAGTATCTACAGCTCTTGATGGGTTGTGCGTATGGATGAGATGAGGGATAGGGGCTAAGGGTAATTAGAGGGTGGTCTTAGGTTCGGTTTAAGCGCGGGTTATGTTTCATGAAATGGACTGATTACGAATGACCATTTTGTTTTCTATAAGTAAGACCCCTTGAACGGCAAGTTTTCCAGTAATGCTTATTCATTTAGCTATTTCATCCATCACCATAATCACCAATAAAAATCCTGAACATGGCCACCCCCCCCCCCCCAACATTGAAAATTCATGAATATGGTCTTATCGCTAGAAAAATCCCAACGAGCGCTCGACCCTCGAATAAATATGTAGGTTCGCCGCCCCGCTGAATACCCAATAAATTTTCCTGTGAAACGATTTCTCAGTACGTTGAATTGGTTCCATCGTCGTGGCAGACTGCACTTGGTTGAGGCCTCGCTTGAAACGAAGCTACTCCAGTGGCCAACGTGGATCACGTGAACAATTATATGCTGAAAAATTGTTCCGGCCCTTAAGTGGTATATTGTACGCAGCCGAAAATTGAAAATCAGGCCATACATCCAAGGTCACCATTTTTTTGCTATATTCTTGCAGGATCAGCCACCAATGCCCAAAAAGTAACCTTCAGGTGGCTCAAAACAGCGCCCGTCAGGGTGGGCCAAGTGTCGAGCTAATTTGGCCGCTGATAGCTCCTACCCTTCGCGTTCTCGCATCACGAAGAACATCCTGATGGCCCAGTCCGTGATCCGTTGCGCAATTCGAGCGAGTCGCGCTACGGATCGCGAACTCTGACACCAGTCTAAGACATATCTGGGCCGAATCTACCACATAGGGACTGTGTGGGCTAAAAAAGGAGTCCTTATATGCTGTGAACACTAAAAGCCAAGAAAGAGAGCAGAAGATACAGTATATCAATCGTTGTTAGAGCACACATTCACATCCACAGAAAACCAAAGAAGAAAACGCTGAAATAAACCGAAAAATGCACGAAGCGTTAGCTGTGAACCGCCACCGTCGTCACAGATCGCGATAGAATCCGGAAAGAATCCGGGAATCCAAGAAGAAGCAGCTTGTAGGCTGTCATGCTGATTCACCATTACAAGTCTGTTCGCAATCCTCCAGCGTGAGAAAATTGTTCTGATTTCCTTTGCGACCATTGTAGATGAACGGTTTGCAGGCCATTTCGGCCTGATCGTAGTAGTAACGCGTTGCCGGTGGAGCCGGCGCACCGAGTTCTCCCTCAACTTCCGGCAGTCCTTGACATGCACCCGGTACCGTCGGCTCACCCGGACAGCATTGATACTCGTCTGGGACGAGACCAAGGTGGCACCAGTAACCGTCACCGCACGAATTAGCGCCAAATGTGCACGGAACCGGACGATTCGACGCATCCAACAGAGGACTGCCCACTGGGCAGACGTTGACGTAAACTGAATATTTGATTGATCTCTTAGATAAGTAACATGAACGGCGAATAGTCAAGGAAACCCTACTAGATCCAGTTCTTAGCTATAACATTTGGCTTTTCCATCAGATTCTTCACATTTTTTTACATTTTGATAGGTTTCTTCAATTTCAGCTTTCATCGCGCGAGTGGGCAATGGACTCGGAAGAGGAGTTCGTGGCTTCAATAAAAAATAGCGCCAAATACTCAATCCATGTTGTCCTCATTTCGAATAATATAAAAGATGTCAAAAGGCTGGTAGTAGAAAGTTTATTAAAATTCGCTTCCCAAAAATGTTAAAGAATCATATTGAAGAACCCGCATAGTCATTTCATAGTTCTAAGTAATGGATCGCGTATGGGGTCTGCTGAGAGTTTCAGTTTCGAAGAACGTAAAAGTGCCTAGGAGCAGGGTCAACCGTCCGTTGGACAAAGTCCAACGCGACGACGAGAGTAATGCCGAGAGTGAACGTACGCACGGAGACACAGACGGCTCGCGGGTGGCGAGAGTGAATGCCGGCGCGGAGAGCGGTGAACATCGGTCCAACGTCGCTCCAATATCGGTCCAACGTAACGGTTGACCCTGGCTTGGAAGGCAGTTCCCAACCAGGCTCTCAGCGCGCCGAGGGGTCTAGCCCACCTCCGACGTTCATTGATATGATCAGGCTCCGCCCTCCAGCCATCGTGATCACTGCCTTTTAAATTAGTTACGTAGAGTGAATTAGGTATCGATGAAAATCAATGAAAAACATTTGTGAGCCTTACATTCCTATGGTTAGACTGTTACATGACTGCTATACATACGCAGTTGCCAGTAACCATGTACAGTAATCTAATTAGCATATCATGTTTGGAATAACTTACCGTAATCGAAGCTAAAGATGTTTGCGATAGGTTACTGTATTAATGCTGCAGTACTAACGCATAGGTATACGAAGAATTCCAATCAAAAGTCAAATTAGACAATAAAGAAATAAACAGATTAATTCTGTATCTGCGGCAGCCAGGTGAGTCCACTACAGACTTCACAACACACTTGACGACGACATCCACGAAATGTAATAGCCTTCCGCTGATCATCAGCCTGTTGCAATTGCAGTCTACCAGTTGTCACAAATTACGGCTATCATTCTCAGTTATCACTATAACTACCAGTTATCAGATTTGCTTATGGTTAGAGGGTGTCGTCAGAGGTGCTGTTGAGTCTGTATTGCAGAATTCCCGGCCGCCGAGACAAAGCATGCCATGTATTAGATAATTAGAGAATTATATTTGTTGCTGTATTATTACAAAGGTCTGATGCACACACCGGGACAGGTTTGTTCGCATTCCTGTTGGCTGAGGAAGTTATTCTGATTGCCGTAACGTCCTCTGTAGAAGAACTGGACGCAACGCATAGTTGTCGCGTCGTAGTACCATCGTGGAAGAGCTGCGTCGCCGGTTCCGAGTGCCAGCGGTTGCTGACAAACCGCGCCTCCTTCCACTAAACTTATGATGGGTAGCACGGTAGAGTAATCCTATGTATGAAAGTTGTGGGAATGTGTGAAGTCGGACTTAAAGACATACTCCAGGCAAAGTTGTGTGAAAAAGCCCTTTTCAAATTTTTCCATTGGCTTGAGTACCACGAACCCACCCCCACTTACCCATCACCACTCTCCCACCGTAGCGTTGTTACAGTATTATGATCACTGTATCACCTGTATCACCTGTCGTCCCGTTGATCATCGATTTGCTCGAGCGGGCGCCAGCAACGTCTCCATTCGTCCCTGTCGCGTGCAAGAGTGTCCAGTGGACCCTCCTCGCTCGAGGGACACGAAGTCCTTCATTCCTTTCGTTCAGAGCTTTCGTGAAGAAGTCTGACCATCGGGCCGGCGGTCGTCCAGGTGTTCGTTTGACGTCCCGAGGGATCCAGTCGGTAACCGCTCTGGTCCAACGGTCATCGCAAAATCGCATGACGTGTCCGGCCCACCTTATCTTCGATTCCTTGGCGAAAACGGCAGCGTCCCTGATCTTCGATCGTTGGCGTAGTTCGGCACTCCGGATTCCCCTCTGCACTTGCGTGTATAGGGTTACTCCTAGCATCGTCCTCTCGACAGCGCGTTGGATAACGCTGACCGCATGCTCGTCCTGCCTGCGCAGAGTCCAAGTCTCTGAGGCGTAGGTTAGGGCAGGAAGGACAGCGGAATCGAAGAGGTGGGCACGGAGCCGGATGTTCTTCGTCTTCTTCACTACTCCCTCGATGTTCTTATACGCTCCCCAAGCCGCTCGTTTCCTCCTGCTCAGCTCTGGAGCTAGATCGTTCATCATATTGATTTCCCGACCTAGGTACACGTAGCTGGAGCATTCGGTGATGTTCGTTCCGTTGAGCGTGAATGGGGCATCAGGAACCAATCCGTTTCTCATAAACATCGTCTTCGTTAGGTTCAGCTGTAGACCGAACCTTACCACAGGCGCAGTCGAAATCAGCCAGCATTCGCTCCGCTTGCTCGATGTTCGGCGTTATAAGAACGATGTCGTCAGCAAAACGAAGGTGGTGTAGTTGCCGGCCGTCGACCTTCACTCCCATGTCTTCCCATTCCAGTTGACGCATGACGTTCTCGAGAGCGGCGCTGAAGAGTTTGGGCGAGATGGTGTCGCCCTGTCGGACCCCTCTCTTGACGTCGATGATGACCTCCTTGTAGAATGGTGAGATTCTGGTCGTAAAGTTGCTGTAGAGCTCACGAAGAATCTTGATGTACTGAGTAGGGACGCCCTGGTTGCCCAAGGCTTCGATGACCGCTTCTGTCTCCACAGAGTCGAAGGCCTTCTTCAAGTCGATGAACGTGAGACAAAGCGGCATCTTGTACTCTCGTGAAACTTCAATGAGTCTTGTAACCGTGTGGATATGGTCGATCGTGCTGAACCCTCTTCGAAACCCTGCTTGCTCGCATGGCTGTCCTTCATCTAGTATTCTGCCGATCCTGTTAAGGATGACTCGAGTGAATAGCTTGTAGATTACAGACAGCAGGCAGATTGGGCGATAGTTGCCAATGTCGTCCAGGTCTCCCTTCTTGTACAGCAACACGGTCCTGCTGGTTTTCCACGGAGTGGGTACCTTGCATTCCGACAGGTAGCGCGTGAAGAGTCGAGCCAGAGTTTTGATGATGACTGGCGGCGCATTCTTCAGATGTTCCGGTTTGACCCTGTCGAGACCGGGTGCTGTACGATTCTTCACCGACTTGATGGCGTGTCGGACTTCGGAAGAGAGTAACTGAGGGGACGACGTATCCATCCTGTTGCAGTTGATAAGTGGGCAGATGGACATGGCTATCGAAGAGATCCGAGTAGAAGTCGTGGATGACTTTCTCCATTGCCCTTCGGGATGCAGTGACTGTTCCATCCGGACGTCGGAGGCAGGTCATCTTGGTCTTGTAGCTGGCAAAGCTTCGGCGGGCATTGCGGATGCTCCTCCCAGCCTCTGCTGCTTCAGCTAATACTGCTGCTCTTCGCTCCTTGAGATCTTCCTTTATCGCCTCTCTGCATAGCTTCGCAAGCTCGGACGTGAGTTGGTGATTGCCTGCAGCTCGTGCGGCTCCACGTTGGCGTATCAGCTCGAGAGTTTCCGTAGACAGACGTCCTTTGGTGACTTGTAAACTCTCTCTGCCTTCCCG